TAATTGTCATGGCTGTGTGGCAGGCAGGCAAGCAGGAGTGGTGGACCCAAAATGCAGAACTCAGACACGGAAGTGAAACTTAAAGCGCAGCTTTATTGCTGGAAAAAACCTCGTACTAACTAAACTCACTAAAAGACAAACAAAAGTCTGAACAGAGGAACCGAGGACTGAAACACTGGAAAAGAAATACTAAACTGGAGCAGGAGACGAAACACAGGAGCAGGAGACGAAACGCAGGAGCAGGAGACGAAACGCAGGAGCAGGAGACGAAACGCAGGAGCAGGAGACAAAACGCAGGAGCAGGAGACGAAACGCAGGAGACGAAACACAGGAGCAGGAGACGAAACCCAGGAGCAGGAGACTAAACGCAGGAGCAGGAGACGAAACACAGGAGCAGGAGACGAAACGCAGGAGCAGGAGACGAAACGCAGGAGCAGGAGACAAAACGCAGGAGCAGGAGACGAAACGCAGGAGACGAAACACAGCTAGTTGAGGGTACGATGCGACAGGGAACACAGGAAAACACAGAGCTTATATACACAGGGAGTAATCAGGGAATGGAAAACAGAAGGGAGACACAGCTGGGAGGATTTGGGCTAACGAGACATGGGGAGCAAAGCTAGACCCGCTGAGATGAGGCACAACCTTTCACAATAAAACGGGAAACAAGAAACAGACATAGACTTGACACTGAACTGAACTTATACTAAACGAGAGACACAACCTAAGAACTAATCCCTCACAAAGACTAACTGACACATAGAATAATACTAATAAACAAAGCATGACAAAAGGATCAGAATACAAACCATAATACAAAGGGATATAAGAACTGAAAATGCTGGGTCAAAATGACCCAGGACCGTGACAGTAATAGTTGAAAGAATTTTCATTGATCCTTTCATGCTTTTTACAAAGATTTTACAAAGATTTTCAAATGTGTGAAGAAGAAAATGAAAAGTCCCCAGGGTCAGCAGCTCAGCAACCTCAAAGTACTACTGCTGTGGTTCTGTGAACATAATGATCTCCTGCCCACCCCTGCTGCCTCTGCAGATGGTTCACACAAGGAATGCTGCAGAGCATCATGGGATCCCTGTGAGTGTGAGGGAGCACTATTTTTAGGAGCTGGACCATGGCTTCTTGAAAAGGCATTAGAGATAAGGCGCTTATATGTGGCAGCAATGGCCTCTGCGTATTATACACACATATTAAATATATCTATATCTATTTATATATATGTGTGTATATATATATGTATGTATATATATATGTATGTATATATATTTATATATATATATGTATATGTTTATATATTTTTTTATATATATATCTATATATATAAGTGTGGTGTGTTGCATTGCACAGATAGTGTTTCCTACCCGACCGCGACCTTTGGGATAACAGCATCAGTATCAGTAGCGCAGTAGCGCCTGTCAGCCAACGCAGGCACCAGTGAAACTGATTGATGATGGGGACAACTGGCCCCCTGGAGAAGATCAGATACTGGCAGGAGTAGCGGACTCCTGGGGAAGACTCTCCACTCACAGCATAGTAACTTTCTGTCTTCCTTCACAGAATAGAAATTTATTACATTTTCACAAATGAATTATTTCAAAATCCCCGTACTTCCACTCTCAACCTTTAACCTCTGCAGTGGTTGTTACTTGCAGGGACAGAAATGACTTGGTCAGAAATATATACGAGTGCACTTTGTGAATTTCTTTTTAAGATTTATTTTTCATTTAATCATTGGGTGATGTTAAATGAGGGATTATGTGGTCTGAGAAATAGTTTCATTTTCATTTTTACAAAAAATGGTAGTATCTCCTGGCAGGCATGCTATCAAACTGGGCTAAATAGAATTACTGCAAAACAACTGATGATTAATTGTTAGATTGATTATTTGGCATTTTTAAACACGAAGATGAAAATAGCAACCGATCAAGGATCTTAGCAGTTATTTAACATGGATGGAGCAGACCACTCTTTATTTATTTTTGTCAGCTAGCTGCATCAAATATAAACAGTAAATTGCTCAATCCCTGCACAGACAGAATATTGAACCCTTATCACATACCGCTACAAATGTCTTCTGACAGCCTGAATGCCTGGTTCAACTTGCCAGATTTTACATCTGGTAAAAATGATCAGCTCCTGTCTCTTCCTCACCCCTGCCTTCCTCTTCTGTTTGCTATTTGAATAGGAAGTAGTGACACTGGACACTGGATCCCTCCCAACAGGTGCAAGGGTTCAGCAGCACATGCCAGGTCAGATCAGAAGGCAGAACCCCTCCAGGCTTCCCTGTTATGGCAAATCCCTATTGCCCTCCCTCCTCCCGACACTTTCTCACTTTTGGGCTGTTGTCTTTTCCAGATGGTTCCAATTAGCATGGTCCTGGACCTTTTTATGTATTTTTTCAAACAAGGACTTAAGAGTTTCCCCTCCTAAATTCTTGTCTTTATTGGTTGCCATGCCCATATATGCTCTGCATGGTAGCTTCAATAAAGTCCCACTTCCTGCACATGACAACATTTTAAAAATGTCTAGTATTCCCATTATTCATTTTGGGTGTCAGCACATTTTCAAGTTAGCGATCCAGTTAAAGAATGTCCTTTCTTTAAACTAAGAAGAAATGGTTAGTGTCTAGAATGTCCTATTGCTCACATTTAGCACTACTGTAAGTCCACACACACTGCTATAGATGCTATCTGGCCATTAATTGGTTGTTAAAAGTGATAATCATCCCTATAGTAATGGCGCTTGGGTACACTTCTGTACCAACTAATGCTGCAGAAGGTGTGCTTGACCTAAACCAAAGGGCTTTTGAAGCCAAAGGTTGTATTGTAATCCTAATAAACCAATGATCTTTTCTTAATTCTAGCCAAGTAGTTTTCGATCCCCACTCAACTTAGATGAAAGTTGCTTGATTTGTTTCTTGATGTCTCAGTAAGAGTTAAGAGATTTTATATTTTAATGTCTGTGACTTTTACTGAACAATGCCTAACTCTAGCTTGCAGTCTGCTAATTTGTTAGCAGTACTTGACAGATGTACAAATGTGTTCATAAAGATTTAGTCATACAGACAAGCTTCTTATCACATGAAAGGTTGTCTTTTATAAGACGTGCCATACTTACTTTGTGTGTTTAATCTGCTTGCTGATAAATATGAGGCTCGTATCAATCTTCTCATGTCATTCTCAAAGCTAATTATTTAGAGTTTTTTATTAGATCAATAAAGAATGACAGAAAATGAATTATTTGGATTCGACTGAAAAGTTTTCTTTTGACTTTCTATGGAAATGTTTTTTTCTGGCTTCATTTTACTAGATTACACAGTTAAGTTGAACTAAAAAACACTGTAGCATTAATACAACATTATCCCAATAGAACAACTAATTAACATCCAATGAAGTGAGTAAAGTGGGATGAACGATAATGTTTACCAGCAACAAGTTCTTGGTTAGCTCCCAAAACGTAGCTCTGCGTGGCTCACTGTTAGTATCCGTGAGCTTTCTTCTGTTTCTCTTTCTCTGAATCAATTCATTTGATGAACTCCCCTTTCGGAGCCCAATTATTGGTAACCATGGAGGCCTGATGAAACCGGTCTGACGACACAAATGTTTCCTGAGAACACAAAGGGCCTTTTGTTTAGCTGATCTCCCAGTCAGTACTGAAAGGCAGATCAGCATGCGAGCCTGTTCTGCTAGGCTTACGATGAAAGGGCAAAGGGGTGAGGTGTATTGATAGAACTGTTGGGATGGACATGTCAGGGTCTTACAATGTCTGTGTCTGTGTTTTGGTTTTTGTTACTGTGGCTGGTTTGATGTTTTTCTTTGCTGGTGTCAAATCTCTTGATTCACTCGTCTTTCCTGTGTGGAACAAACAAAGAGAAGAAAGGAGTTGTAAAGTCCATTTACTATAGGGTTTATTTAGACTTTTTATGATTTCTACTGTGTGTCTGTTAGCAAAACATGCCATGAAGGAATATTTGTCCCTTCCGACATACTAATAGTAGTTTTTCAGGCCTGATTACTGGCAGATCTATTAGATCAAGTTGAAGTAGGCTAAAAGCAACACATCATGACATAGTCTAAAGAAACTGCTGAGAAACAGAGTTATTGATATTAGTCTGGAACGGGTTACAAAGCCACTTCTAAGGTTTTGGAACTATTATCCTCAAGTTGAGGAAACTTGGAACAACCTGTGGTCAGTTGTGAACCTTCCCGAGAGTGGTTAGTGCCATTATTATGTTGCATTGGCAACCCATTGACAAGGTCACAAAAGAACCCAAAACATCTAAAGAACTGCAGTCTTCACTTGCCTCATTTAATGTCAGTGTTCATGATTCAGCAACAACAAAGAGACCAAGCAAAAATTGCATTTATGGAAGCATTCCAAGGTTAAAACCACTGCTGACCAATAAGATCACAAAATGACTTTTTCAGATAGGGCCAGGTAGGTTTGGATTTTATTCCCCCTTAATACATGAAGCCCCTGTTAGTATTGACTCAGGTTGTAGTACTCTAATATGATTTGTTTGATGATTTGAAACACTGAATTGTACGCCTTCATATTGCTCAAGATAGCAAATGGCTCAATAGAGAGTAGAGTAAGAAGACAATCCTACCTGCCAGGAAATTATGAATTTAAAACCTGTTTCAGCGTTGAGACTCAGAACAAAGAAAAACAAATGAGAATGTTATATTTATATCTTTGTGTCACAGTCAGAGTGTTGAGTTGGATATTTTTGGATCAAAGCACTGTTTTCTATTTTAGCAATGAAATCTGACATTGCACATAAGATTTTTAGGTGTTTATTAGTCATGAGATACAAGTATAAGATATGAATAAAGGGCTCATAGAAATTAAACAAATCACTTTGGATTTTATCAACCTTATAAGCAGTTTTCTACCATATATTAGGAGTATTACTCCAAACACATATCTTCTACAGTATAATCTAATATCCTTTTCTGTGTCCCTGTGTGTGCCCCCTCCAGTGTTTCAGCAGCAGGCTGTCCACAGCCCTCTGGAGCAACAGAAGCAGAAACAGAAGCAGGGTAGCAGTGGAGGACCTGTCGCCTGCCAGAACTGTGGAAAGCCCTGCAAAGGGGAGGCACTCCGAGTTCAGAATAAACACTTTCACATTAAGTGTTTCATCTGCAAAGGTATGTAACACCAAATCAGAGCCACAGCCAAGACATAATGCAGATGCATGAACTGCACAATGAGATGGGATGTTACAAAAATGTTTTTGCAATATTGTGTGTGTTAATGTGCATATTGCAGCACATATCCTGGTCAATAGTCACTCCAAGAATCCTCACAGCATTACTGGAGGCCAGGGTAATGCCAGCAATAGTATCTAGTTAGACACCATGTGGCTGAGATTTAGAAGACTGAATAAAAAAGCATTGGTTTATCGTTTTTCTATGTACTGTGATAGCACATCTACAGTTGAGCAATACAGTCATTATTAATGGATTGGTCAAAGCTAACCAGCTGTAGGTGTGAGTGTGAGTGCATTGTGTGTGTGTGTGTGTGTGTGTAATTGAGGGGTAGGGTGGGAGTGAGGGGATTTTTTCGTTGTACATATAATCTGGGAGGCTAGCTGCAAGTGTCAGAAACTTGAAATGTGAGCATGTTCCATTTGTGTGTATGTGTGTGCTTGTGGGTGGGTGGTGGATGTTTTTCTTTTTTCTTTTCACATGTGACTTTGAGTGTGTATTTTCACCACTCCCAGGCCAGACTCCCAGCTCGATTCTTGTGTCAGACTGCTGTTGTTGTCAACACACGCTCCGGTTGCTAGGCAATGGTTGGGGTCGCTAAAGTGTCGGCAGCTTCCTGGAGTTTAATCTTACACTGACCAGCAGACTCCCTGTCTGTACATTTACGCCCCGCCATTACCACCACCTCCATCTTTAACTCTGTTATCAGGTGATAAAGTGGCAGTGTTTGCATTGCCATCACAAGGTTACAAGTGTACTGCACTCAGTGGTCAGCTTGTTTTTGTTTAACTTAACAGATGATTCCTTTTTACTGCAAGTTGTAGCTTAGATTTAGCATTTAGTTGTAGCATAGTTTTGGCCATTATTGTTGCGTAGACCAACACTGCATATTATGGTGCATGCTACAGACTACTGTATTTATAGCCTGTATGGCACAAAATAGTTAATAAAAAATGTCATCTTTGTGGCTATTAATTTAAAAAGTCTGATTTGTCAATAATGACAGCATCTATTAAGCTGTCACGCTTTACTGATTGAGCTGTTCCTTGATGAAGAGCTTTTATGATTGGTTTGAAAAAAAGGAGCAAATTGAGGTGATTCATGCCAAGTATTCAGTGAGTATGCTAATACCAACACACAACAGTCAGAGGAGCTATGTAAGGGTTCTCTTTACCCCACCCAAAAGTGCTTGGCTGTTCCTCCCATCTATAAATCTAAAGCATGACCACAGTAATTCAATTTCCAACGAATCTGGCCTGTTAAATGTGCTGATTATCCCAGCATTGTGAGCGCTAGGTGGGGAGTCAGGTTCGGTTAGTTATTAAAACTTCCAGATGTGGAATGATAGGAGTTTGAAACGTTTGAGTATGCCAATAAAATAAACCATAGCAGGCTTAGTGGCAATGGCGCTTTTCAATCCGCAGTTTGAAATTTAACATCAAAGAAAAGAGGAGACACCCAAAGGAGTGGTAGCAGCCTAATTCAACAAAGTGTAATGCTCATTAAGATTTTAGGTTTTTCTCTCAGTGCATGCGTCATGGAAGAGAATCATGGCCCCTGATTTTATTACAGTATTATCATCAGTTGCCTTTAGCCTGGGTGTTAGCCAAGAGGTTAACAGTGGCCAGATCTGAAGCAAGGAAACCTCAAAGCTCAGCTAGCTCTATTTAATATATCAAGATTTCTGCAGGTTTATCATAATATACATAGTAGTAACATATATTCAGCATATACAACTGACAGTGTGCTTTCAAGTGACAGCAGTTACTTACTAAAGTGATTAAGACAGTACAAGTACCTTCTAATGAATGTATTTCACTATATTTAGACGGGTTTCAAAGATAAGACATCATCAGTGTAATTTGAAACAAAGAGGAGTGACAATATATAGAAACCAGGTGAGGCCCAAATGCCAATCACAAACAAGAGCTTTCATTACATAAAAGGAAACATCTGCAAAAGCCTCAAAGGGTAATGAATGAGAAGATAACCAGAACCACGTGGCATCACTCACTGATAGAAACCAACTGACAGCATATAAAAAATATACTTTTTGAGATATCAACATCAAAATATTATTAACAACTGACATAGAAAAAATATAACAACTTCTGGGGACTGCATTAGACTAAAAACAGAAAAATATTAGAAACAAAATAAGAACTGAATTGAAATCTGTGTCTCATATTGGATCTCTCTCTCCCCTCAACCCAAGCTGGTGATAGATGCCCCTCCCAATGCCTAAATCTGCTGGAGGTTTCTTCTTGTTAAAATTTGTAAGAATTAAACTAAAGTTTTTCCTTCCCATTATCGTCAAGTGCTGGCTGATTGGGGTGGTCTTTTTTCTGTATTATTATGGAGTCTTTACCGCATTGAGGAAACTGTAATTTGTTGCTATATAAATAAATTGAATGTGGTTGGACCAGATAAGCTAATTTTCTGAAACACTTCACTGGATTCACGTAACCCTCCAAGTTGAAGATGAATCATTGAAAATCATATGTGGCATATGTGGGATAAAGTCCCACATAGAACTTTAATTGTCTTAAATATATTTTTAAAGAAAGAAGAGGACTTTGTCTTTCTTATTTTATTATAAACATTTGACAAACATCCCAACCACCCACCCCCTTCATTAGTGATGAGCACTAATTGGTGTTTTTATTGTAGCTTCCAGCAACACCTAAGTGTGTGCTTGAGGAAGTGTGAAGACTGTGGCCTTCTGTATATCCTGTTTTGTCTGTGTCTCATATATCTTTAATCTAGCAGTGAGACCCCATCAACAGCAGACAGCTGCAGACAATACGACCTGGCCGAACAGCTCAGACAGACATTTATCCCCTTTCTGTTTTTACTCGCTTGAATGGCCATCACATCATCCAAACAGCATTTGAATACAGCGGGGAATACTCAAATGTGAAAATATGTGGACACACCCTAAAACAGATAAATGAGAAGTGTTAGGAAGTTCGCAGCTAAGAAACAGAGGGAAACTGAACATGTGCTTTACAGGAAATTATTTGATTTTTTTCGCTTTAAATTATGCCATTCAGTAGCTTCAGAACATTTTTTTCAAACTTTTCATAGTTCTAGTAAATGTTAAATATATTTCTCCCTTTTTTCTGTATCAAATCTGCAAGAGCTAAGGCCCATTGCAGTTCTTCCTTTTAGGGTCTATTTTACCTGATGTGTAGTATATAGTTTCCCAGCATGTACTGCGAATTGTCCCAATGTGTGCCAACATGTTCTCATCCCAAAACGTAACATATCGACATTATGTGACAAATCGTTGGTATGTTACGCTTTCGGCGGACAAAATGTCTGCATGTTATTTATTCAGAGACATGAGAACCGTTTGGAATGAACCTAGAGATCTACATTTATTTTACATTCTGATCATCAATCGCTTTGGAAAACACTATGAGATACGGTTACGGTTATGGTTAATGTTAGGGTTAGGGCTGAAATACACGGCTGGAGCGTGTGGTACCACCACAAGTGTCATTCTGTTGGATTCCATCCACAATCTGGAGCATGTCAAGGAACTATAAGACACCTCGGGATGTGACAAATTGTTGGTATGTTATGCGCTGGGAATGAGAATGCCCTCAAGTGTGCATTGTGTTGTCTAACACACACAATTTAAATAGTATTAGTCGTATACAACATAGAACTTAGTGAAAGATTAGATTTAGAGAATAAACCAACAGCAGGGCTCGCAAAATCGCTACCCCGACGTCCCGGAGCTAGCGATATCTCCGGTCGGGCGACGAAAATCTATCTCAGCCCCGCCCGTCGGGTTATCATATAGCTAGCTCCGGCTATTACTACAAAAATAAACTACTTGCTTAC